CCTGTTCCTCAGTCCTACATCAGTCCTGGCCTTCCAGCTACAGGCAGAAGCTGCCCAGAACTCCAGCCCAGTTTCTCAAGTTCTCCTCCCTCCCTCAATCAGTCTTCCCTCATACCACCACTATATTATATATATATATATATATACTGCTATCCAACAATATAACATTTCCCTTTCAGTGTAGAAAGGGTGTAGTACTAGGCTTAATCCCTGTTTGGGAAACCAACCCCTGCTGTTGCTTCTTTCCTACTGTCAATACTTCAGTAGTCTTGTCTGCTGGTTCGATAACAGCTTCCGAGACCTCAATGTCTCCAAGACTGGGAATCGGTGTATAGAAGACAAAATGAAAGGAGGCAGCTCAGGTCCTGCATACAATCCAATCAGCACAAAGGGTCAGGAAGTGGAGTAGGTCATGTACTTCAAATATTTGTTAACAGTAATCGATAATAAGCTCGCCTTTCAGGACAAGGTGGACAACATCTATAAGAAAGCAATGTAGTTCCTTGCTGTTCTCTGGAAGTTGAGGAGCTTTAACACCATTAAGCATACCCTGACTACAGTCCATAGACATCGTATCATGGTATTGTAACATCGATCAAACAGAAACATAAACTGTTGTGGGTCGTAAGCCAGGTCAGTGAAATCGAAGGACATAAATGACCCCAGCTTATGGACATATTTTCTCAACTTCCAAAGAAAAATGAAAATCAGGTTTATCTTGATCCCACTCATCCTTTTCATTTCTTCCAAATGTGTTCAGACACCCCTTCTAATTGGCAACTTCAGGTACTGCTTTAAGGTGTATCCACTGCTGACACATAAGCACACATGGCTTGTATAATCTCCGTAGAAAAGCATTGCCAACAGAATGGGACGCTCTGGAGTAGCCACACATGAGCCTAAGGTCACCAATGCCCAATGCTGAGCACCAGCTAGAGGTATAAAGCCAGCTATGGGATGTGGAGCAGTGGAACTGCATTCTCTGAATTGACGGTGCTCCATCCAGTACTTTTGGGATGAATTAGAGTGGAGAATGTGATACAAAACTAATCATTCGACATTAGTACCTGATGTCATTGATGCTCTTGTGGATGTATGCAATCAAATCCTTATAGCAATGTTCTAACATCTAGTGTAAACCTCACCCAAGAGCAAATACTTTTACTACAGCAAAGAGTGGAAACCCACTATCAGTATCCCTGATTTCAGAAGAAACACTGAGATGAGCAGGTGTCTACAAACATCTGGACATAGTAGCCTACTTTCAGTCAACTATTTTTACCTTTAATGTATTTGAGTCATATTTTGTTAAACTGAGTACTTTTAACTTGAGGCTAATTTACTGATCTGTGACACTCATGCCCTTCTCATCTGTCCTGAAGGACTTTACAGGCTCAGTACTGTCCACACAAGCACACATACACATCAGGAGTAAAAGGTTAAATGTGACTCCATTTAAGGGTGGCCAATTCACAAGGATGCATGCGTCAGGTACCGTTTACACTGTTTGTCACGGAATGGCAGAGTGAAAGAGTCAGGAGAGCTACAAAGCTCTGAAAGCCTAAGTGAATCATTTTTAGAGGAGAGAAAATAATTCGACACCAACATCAATCAAAGTGAAGATCACATGGCAATAAGAAAATGAGACAACAACTCAATTCCAATGATTTACATTCCATTTCTACCTCATCACGTCAGGACAAAGGGGGCAATTACGTACTAGTTCGTACACCCTTTCCTTGCAGAGAGATAAAAAAGGGAACCATGCATGTGTCTCATTGTCTTTTTTTCCATGGGGATTTGTCATATCTAAGAAATACAGCCATTTTCTCAGCTGTCAAGCAATTCCTTCAGCATACTCTATCACTCTATGACAGCATTCATCACGTCCTCATGCCTGCAGGACAAGTGTGTAGGTAAGAAGGAAGAGAAAAAAACACTCAATTTAACAAGTCATTTCAGAGCAGGTCATAGCTTCACAAGACATCCTTCACGAGGCTCTCTTTTAGTATTCAGTGAGATATGTTCAAGAGAGGGATGCTGAAAAATGCTAACGCTAGTACCCTGTGTTTTAGGGTTTTGAGGGACGGCGGGGCGAGGGGGGAGGTCATGACAGAGGTTAGTGCAAAATTACGGCCTGTCACAGTCTGGACAGGGCAAGAGCAGCCGCAGAGAGACCCTGTCAGGGTGCGGAGGGCGACGCACCCACGGGCCCGCCGTAGCAGTGTCAGAGGAACGCTCAGCTCCAAAGTGCTTGTCCCACACAACGGAGAGCTGACTGCCCTTAAGCTTTTCTCCTTGCCTGTCAGGCCAAGAGCCACGGGCAGTAATTACCAATGAAAACTCAAACTTGAACAGATTCAAAATGCATTTTCCCTAAACCTATAAACCTCGTTTGTACATAGTATTAATTAACCTATGCACATTTAAAATGCTGTATAAGATAGTTATGAAAGCCAATAGAGGAATATAAAGTGTGATAACTGCAGTTGAGCATAAAACACAGCCTAAAACACAATACATTACATCAGCAGTCTGAATATAGCATAGAAGAATATAGACTACATGAGGAGTTTCATCAATGAAACACTACAGCAAACATCAGCATGGAAATAAAATATAATGCATTGAACAAAATCTCTCAGCTGGAATTTCCAAATTTTATATATTCCAAGTTTGCAGCAGATGAGTTTTATAAATTAGAAACTTTAAATTAGAAAACTGAAGTCCATGGACACAATCTGAATGTACAAAAAGTTTGGTTTAAAACCGTAACTTAATTTTATTGAAGTGAGTTTTATTTCTGCATAATTATTAAGATCTAAACAAAGTCATTCAGAGTGGATTAATGTATAATATTCTAGAGAAACTTACAGAGCTACAGTTGTCAACAGTGGTCGTGATAGGAACCAGACGTCCGAAGCATTTTGGCCTAGAACATATATTTTAAAATCTATTAATGGTTGAGAGGAACATGCAGGGTGTCATAAGGCAAAATAGCCCCCAAAGAACAGATTATTTTTCTTTTTAGATTTAACACTATTTTACAGTTTGTAGCATTACTTATACACTTACAGAGAGAAGTGTTCTTTAATAAAGGCAATGGTTCTTTTTAGACCCATTTCATGCTTAAATGGTTCTTTGCATGGTGAAATGGTTCTTTAGACTGGTGAAGAATGTGGTTCTACATAGAATCTTTTTGAAAATGTTTCTATAGAGCACCAAAAAGGGTTCTTCTACTGTTACAAGCATGACATCGTAACAGTAGAAGAACACTTTTTGGTACTATATGGAACTATTTTTTCAATAAAGTTCTACGTAGAACCACGTACAGCACATTCTTCAGCAGTTTCCCTATGCAAAGAACCATGAATTGGTTCTATATGGAACTGATGGTTCTAAATAGAACCATTGGCTTTACTAAGGAATCACTGAAGAACCATCCTTTTAAATGTGTTTATAAATACTCAGAAGACATTTGTAGGTCTACTGGTCATTTTATCATAAATAAAATGACCATATTTGTGTTGCAGACATCAAGACCCCTGGTTCCTATTGCCACCACTGTAACGAAATTTGAGTTGGTAAGTTTCTCTACATCACACCATTTCACATCAAACCACTCTGAATCATGTTATTTACATCTCAGTGTCATAATTGAAAAATGGGTGGAATTTCTCTTTAATATTTAAGGTTTGTGATGTCTTAAATCAGTTCTTGTAGCTCACCTTTATTTTTTATTTATGTTAAACTATTTATTGAATAATTTACTCCTGATTTGATACCACTTGGCGCGTTGTTGCCCAACTGTCTCTGTGTGTGCCTGCAATGAAACAGTATGAACATTTTATGTAAGCTATGCTTTCTTCACACACAAAACTAAGAATCTGATCATAGAAACCATTTATGGAAAATCCTCTTGCTTTGCATGCTGTATGACAGAGCTCCACATGCAGGGCCATCTATTTCATACATGCTGGATTAAATGGATGTCCATAGCTATATTCCAGACTGTATATTCTGATTTGATGTCTCGTGCTGAAAAGAGCAGCTATGTATCTTAAATGCAGGAAATCAGATCTGTGTCATGCATCTCTGTGTTTCTTGACGTTAATCTTTATAGCAACAATTATAGGCACTTACAGCACCGATAGGGCAGGTTTTTCAGACTTAGATTAAGTCTGAGCCTGAACTAAAAAGAATTTCTAATGACAAATCTTGATTGAAACTGACATTTAGTTCAAGATTAGGTTTAAAGGGCTCATATTACATTAAACCATCAAAGCTTTTTTTAAATAAAAGGTTTGATGCAGTATGCAAACATTGTTGAAGTTTCAATGCACTCCCCACACAGAGAATCTATGCTGCGAACTATGTTTCTGTGATTTCACAAAAACAACATATTTACATATACACATCTATACAGCATTTAAGCGTTCAGTCCTGCCCTCTCATGTTAGGTATATTGAGTGTTACAGTCAGGACTGCTTTTTAAATGAGGCAAATTACAGGGCAGCCAATCAGAACACAGATACTTTGCATATATCTGTCCTAAAGGCTCAGTAACAAAAACAGTTTGTTTGATAAGAAGTTGAAAATTGTCATGTAAAAATGAATGTGAAAATGTAAATGTAAGGGACCCTTAATGCAAGAAACCAGCACATACAGTCCAAGAATGGAACTTAACATCTATGCGACCATCTATGCAAAGTGCATTTCATCATAGAAGTTATGCAAACTATTAACTTCTTATTTCATTCAGTAGAGCTTAACATTATAATTCGTAACTAGGTTATACCCTTGACCTGTGCATCATACCCTGACTTCTGTCTGAGCCTGTTATATCAGCTGGAAACCTAATACCATGCTTAAGGATGAACATGCTTAAGGAGTCATGGCATTACGTTAGAACTTCTGTTTTTCCGCTGATGCCGTCAAGGACTAAGGCTCTATTAGGTAGGGGCTATATAAGCTGGCCAGACCTGCTCCAACATCCCAACCGCTTCACTGCTGCTTGCACCTGTGCTCATTCTGGTGAGTGCTGAATTTCTGTGGTTATTTTTAGCCTTTGGGTGGTGCTATCAAGCAAATCAAATCTTAGTTTAATAATTTCTGAAGCAGTTTGAAATGAGAACTAGGTGTTTTTCTTATATTAATGCTGACACTTCAGAGTTTCCCACTATGGGTCGATTTCCCAGGCTGTGATAAAGCCTGGACTAAAAAGAATCGGCAAGGGTGATTGGTACTGCAGTTTGATCCACACAAGGCTTATTCTGTGCCCATGAAATAGGCCTTAAACGTAAAACCTGTAGGATAAAGTCTATTTTGTGTCTGGATGTCTCCTTAGATGCTGCCTGCAATGGCCCTGATGCTGCAGGCAGCCCCTATGTTCCTCCTGCTGGTCTCTTCTCCAGGTATCCATTCCTCTCCATCTCAGCACCTGTGTGGCTCCAGCCTGGTGGATGCTCTCTATGTCGTTTGTGGTGCAAGAGGCTTCTTTTATGCCCACAGAGGGGAGAGGGACCTTGAGGCGTTGCTGGGTGAGCACGACTTTCCCAAACCGGCATTTAGCACGTCTGAAAATCACTCTGAAGTGATGGTTTGGGCAAAAAGCATATTTAGACAATTACCTTCTTCCCACAGAAAGGTAGTTGATAACCCAAGACATGTTCTTTGTCTATAAATTGCTTCTGCAGTTTTGCTTTGGAGCTTCTTTAAAATAAATAAGTAAAACAATGGCTGATACTACAGTTTGTAGCTATTTTACAAACTTTTATACAATTTCATTGTATATAGTTTTACTTATCCAGAGTGACTTACAGTTTAATCACGTTACAGAGGTAAGTGAATGTAGCATTTGGAGTCTTGCCCAAGGACGCCTATTGGTGATACATGGTTTGCTTACCTGGGTAGGGAATCAAACACCAGTATTCTGCTTGGAGGGCAGCGGTATTACCCACTATTGTACACTAATTGCTGAGACTATTACTGTTCAACTATTAAGTGACAATTTAGACATGCATGATGCCATACTTTAGGCTATAAACTTTTAATACATGTAGCCCCATTAGGCTACGTTCACATTACAAGCCTCATTGCTCGGATGCAGTCTTTCACATTTGTGTGGGTGAGCGATTAACCCCACAACACGAATGCCTGACCGTTCTCTAGGTCACATGGCCTTGAATCAGATATGTTTTCGTGCTAGGACCACATATGAAAGTGGCTCAGATCTGATTTGAAAAGATCAGACATGTGCATCCACAGAGCTCTGAAAACATCAGATTTGCACCACTTCAGCCTGACAATATGAACCCAGCTAAGCGACTGCAAATATTTGAGGTGATTACATTTATTTAGAACTACAATCATTTTCCAGTCATTAGATTTCTGCAACCAGTAAAAATGTGAAGTGAGCGCATAAGACCGAGGCAAATAACAAAGTAAATGCATTCACTGAGACATCAGGGGGGCTATGAACAAAAAAGTTCCACCTTGTTTAGCAGGCAATGCTGATTAATGTTGGTGTATTTGTTAGCTATGTAATTAATTCTAACTTTTTTAGCATGCATTGTGGTAGAATGACCTTTTTTTTTGCTTTTTGAACTCTAGCATAGTGCACTTAACAGCATAGTATCATTTCAACAGTACAGCCAGTATAAGCTACTAATCAAACATAGCTAGGAAATATGTACTGTTAAAAGATGTACTGTTAAAGTACTATAACATGTATTGTAAAAGACAATCAATTTATCACAACTTATTTATGAGACTATTATTAATCAACTAAAACTTCATGATTGTGACAGCCCTAAACACAGCCATGGCCTCATTGCTTCAGACAAAAAGCATGCTTTGAACAATTAACTGCAAATGTAAGCTAAGTAAGGGGAAAATGTGTTTTTTGCTGAACCATTGGCTCCATTTTGTTCAGTACTTAATGTTAGAATTGTAATGTAAAAATGTTAATAGTTGTAGCCCTTAAGAAGAAATAACAGTAATGTATGGAGAACACTCTCTCCTCCAGCTGTCCTCTCAAAGACTTCTGGTCATGAGAACATGGTGGAGGGCATCCCTACGAAGAAGCTGGAACTAAAAGTGAAGAGAGGGATTGTGGACCAGTGCTGCCACAGGCCCTGCACCTTATCCCACCTGCAAAACTACTGTAACTGAGCCAGCTGCTCAAGAGCAACACCCAGACTACCACTGATTATGGAAGAACACTTGAAAACCCTGGCCACCAAATAAAGCATCACTAATAGCAACAGAAATAAGTGCCAGTTTCTTTGCAAAATACACAGTGGAAAAATGTATCACTGCATGATTTAACCCACGAGGATGTTTCTGAGAAAGCAAACCTATTTTCACTCAGCGTTATGTGGAAAGGTCAAAAGCAATGTATAAACTGAGCAGAAAGGGCTTTAATCAGACTTCGTTACTACAGTACTTTAGGGCCCTCTGCTGGACAACAGTGCAAAATAAAAAGCAGTAAATCAGATTTAATGCTTCAGGAAAAAAGTTCAGTAACCAACAAAAGATGCATGGAAAACACTCACTCACTTTTTATTCGGGTATACTAAATAGTTTAAAGTTTAGTTCTGGTATATTGATAGCTAAAATTTGCATCAATATTTTTTTGAGCAGCCATTTCATTTGGTAAGTTCAGTCATAATTTTTCCCTCCAAAAACCAATAAATAACAGGTTTAACAAGTTACCAATATTTTGCCAAGGAGAATATGTAACATTTATTTAAGTGTCCCCTTTAAAATCACATTCTAAAACATAAACAAAAAAAATAATAAAGAAATATAAAGGTAGCCAGATTACAGATGTGTGAAGTAGGCTTTATTTGACTTGAATTAAGACTTTGCAAACGGAATTCAAATTTTAATGAAAGTAAAAACACAGGAGTACACATAGTCCAAGCAGTAGTTGTATGAACACTAAGCCCACAGGAATACATATTTTTACCATCTCTTAAAAACTAGTTTGGTAATTCTGACCTAAAACACTACAACTTGGATAATTTTTTTTAAAGAATATTTATTCCCATTCCAATTCATGCACCACCAATGCCATAGTTAATATTTTGATCAGTACACCACAAGGATGTACTGAAAAATACACTGACTCCCCTATATATAAATAATACATTGTTCACGTACTGTAGAAATCAATGGGAACTCGTGCGTGTAAGCAGGATCCGCTTTGACTTTTAGCCTTTATGGATAAAATCAGCTTAGAGCTGTTTGCCATGTTTTGTGCTCTAAGGTCCCAGTAAAGTCTGTATTGTTACAGTTCAGTGAACTGAATTCTTTCTGAGAAAGAGAGTAAATGTTAATCACCCTTAGAGACAAACTCTGAGACATTACAGTTAAGACATTCTGTAACCACTTAAATAGTGATTCTCCATTAAATAACATTTATTCCAAGACATCAACAACTAGTCTTGTTATGAAATTGTTAAAATCACGCTCTATCTCAGACCCGTCACAGGCTGCTGGTTCTCCTTGAGCTCATGTTTAAAGGCTTTGCTTGGGTCAAACTTGTGTGGAGCCTGACTGGACTTCAGCTGCTCCAGCTCCCGCTTTTGCTTGCCCACCTGTGTCCTAAGCTTAGACACTTCCTGTAGAACACAAATATATATCCATTAAAGAAGCCTAGTGCAGGCACTCTTATTTAAAAAAATAAATAAATAAATAAAAAAACACCTCTGGATGAAAACAGACCATTTCACATTTAACAGCAATGTGATCCTGACCTGTTTGAGCTCCAGGTTCTCCTCCTTGAGTTTGACCATGTGCTTGATCTTCTGTCTTTGGTTCTGATGGCCCAACAGATTGGCATAGGCGTTAGCCAGTTTATTCAGTTCCGTCTGAGTGGCCCCTTTCTCATTGAGCAGGGCATCCCTCTCCGCGGCAAAGCCGTCCAGCTGCTCCTGGAGACCACAAGCAGTAGAAAAATGAGAGGCACATCAGGGAGCCACAGAGACCATCTGCAACGCTCATACTGTCAGCAGTATCAGTTCCACAGGAGTAGTTTAAAGGAGCATGGCCTCACCTGAAAGGGTTTAACTTTTGCATAGAGCTGTTCATACAGGTTTCTCCAGTGCTCTGTCTCTGTATTAGACGTGCTGTAAGATGATGTGAACACATATCACTGATGAAAAACATACAGGTTAAACAGATACAGTGGACCCCAGTTAATTGATTGACCGCCTCTACGTCAAACGTAACCGATTTCAACTTTTGCTGCAACAGCCTCTGACGTGGAGGCATGTTACAATAGAAACGTGGATGGGTGGGCACAGGCAGAATGTAACTGCTACACTATTTAAGGTCGAAAGAGAAAATTCAAACAAGAGGCTGGCGAGTTAGAAGCTGACTTCAGCTTCGTGTTAACACTACAGTTGAAATGCAAAGCGTAAGAGACTTCTGAGGTAAAACAATATTTAACACCGTTTTCACCAGACTCAGAATTTTTTTTTTTGTAGTAAATTGATATGAAACCATATCAAATACTGAGCATCAACCAAAAGAAAATCCATCAGAGATTAAATTAAGGCATAAGTCAAGAAATTATAAAGTATTTTAAACACTGAGTGACACCAAGGCCAAAACTTCACAAGTAGTTAAATCAGGGTTGGCTGTGCAAAAGTTATCAGTTCTCCATTTACCAAGAGGCATTGTAGCAGAAATACACCTTTAAAAGGCATAGCTATACAGTCTCCAGTAGCTTTTAAATCCTGTAAAACAGAATATATGGAACACTAGGACAAATTTCTTAATTCTATTGAGACCTACATTCTGGCCACTTCATTTTGATTAAAACTGTGCTGAGCGGAAAACTTCAGAGAAAGTAAATGCCCTCAGGCTTAGACTTTTTCTATCCATTCCTTCATACTCTAGTGGCATCTTTAAACGGAGACTAATCTTAAATCTATAATGCCTTTGGGAAAAGAGGCCCTATCAAATTTCAGCTTCTGGATTTGATTAAATCCGGCTTTTACATTTAATTAATTTAATCTAACCGCCAAAACACAATCAATTTCAAAGAACTAGTCCCAGAACATTATTTTGAGGTATGAGTAATGTGTATATGTACCGCACTCACCTGTGCTGCACCTCTGCGAGTCGTTTCGTAAAGTCGTGACGCTCGTTCTCCATCTGCAAATGCAGCTGCTCCCTCTCCTGCTGCCACTCCTCAGTGTGGCTCTTCAGACAGGCCTCTTTCTGCTCCAGCAGCCTGCTTTGCTCAGCCATCTCCTGTTGCAGCGCCTCCACCTTTTCCTGCAGGACCTGCGCCTTCTGTGCCCTGCCCTCCGCTGACTCCCTCCTCCTCTGCTGAGCCTGCTCCAGCAGGGCCAGGGCCTTCTGTTTCTCCTCCCGCTCCTGCTCCATCAGTCCTTGCAGACGGCAGTGCTCCATGCTGTGAGCCTCCACGACACGCTTTAGCTCATCCTCACTTTGAGCCAACTTGGTCTGTACTTCCAATAACATCCTACACACACAAACACAAATTTACACTTAGGGTTATTCATATAAGAACATATTTTCCAATTAGATGAGGATCTATTAATGCTTGCATCATTTTTTTAAGAAAAGCAAGAAAAATGCAGGATGTAGGACCTTGAAGCAAGTAAGAACTACAGCTATCAAATAAGTTGCAACAAAGTACATAAAAAGGCCTGTTTTAGGACAAAGTTTGAGATTAAATAAGGATTAGAATATACCAGACTGAGGGAACTGTTCTTGTATAGCCAAGTCACACAACTGACCTTAACCCAACGTTGCAGCATTTCACAAGTCTAGACAAGACATTTAGCAAAACAGCAGGACTGTAAGCAGGAACTGCATTACGAGCCCGCCAGAAAAACTACTAGTGGAGATACTCAGTATTTGCTGATGTCTCTAGGTCAATGACTTCAGACAGTCCGAGTACTAAAACAATTTTATTTGAAGTTAGGTTTATTGCCTAACTACTTATGGCCCCTTTAAATGGGACACCGTGTATAAAAATTGCTGTAATTCACAAAATAATTATGTAAATATCCTTGAATTTTAGCAGACTTTAACTGCACTTTAAACTCATAGCTACTGTTTTCAGTGTGACAGAGTACAGGGTCATAACAAAAGCTGTCACTGTGTAATATCTTAAATCTGCTTTGTATGTACACAGACGTGAAACCTAACCTGGCATACTCCTCCCTCTCCTTATCTTGGGTTTGCTGATGGTCGAGGAGTTTTTGTTGTTGCTCCTGCAGCTGCTGGCTGACTCTGCTCACCTCCTCCTCCAGCTGCTGCCTGACTCTGCTCACCTCTTCCTCCAGCTGCTGAGCACAGGCTTCAGCCTGCTCCCTCTGCATGCTCAGAGCCTGCCTAGCACTAAAAGGGTTAAAGTATTAACAACATGACCCAATTGAAGAGAGGGGTTTAACAGCTAGTGCTCAGTACTTACCCCTCTAGCTCAGTGGCCATTTCGCCAACCTTGCCCAGGCAGCTGTTGTGTTCCTCTTGTAGTTTCTTCATAGCTTCCTTATGAGCCTCTTTCAAAGTCTTCATTTCAAGATTATTCCTATCAATACAGTATAAACATTAGCATGAATTTGCAAGAGAAAGCTTTTTCCCCTCTCTTCCCAGTTTGTCTCAATGGCTCTGACCTCACTAGCTCTGTGCATGCACTAGACAGTTCTTCTCCCAGTGTGTGCTTTTCCCCAGTGAGACACTGGATGGCCTCCTCGTGCAGCCTCTCCTGCTGCTCCAGCACTGACAGCTCCTCCAGCACCTCTTCCAGCTCCTCCTCTAGTTGCTTCCTCTCAGTTTCCATCTCATCACGCAAATGTGCCAGCTCATTGGACAGGGAGTTGCTGTGAGCCTGCAGCATTCAGATGCCACAAGTCAGATCAGGTGAACTAGAATAGGTTAATACTTCAGGTTTAGCAGACATTTTTGAACATAAACTACTGTGAAGTTCCATTTCAGCTTAATGTACAGACCTGCAGACATAAATAAAATGCATTGTTCTACTAAATGTATTTTTTAAACACAGTACTGCGCAAATAAACATTCATTCATTTAAAATGACCATTAAGTACACCTCCTTGTTTCTACTTTCGTTGTCCATCAGGTCCATTTACCATATAGAAGCACTTTGAGGTTCTACAATTAAAGACTGTAGTCCATCTTTCTCTGCACACTTTGTTAGT